ATCCAAATACCTAGGCCAACTATTAGCTAAATTAATACCTCTAAATTATCACATGTGTTTACATGCAGTAAAAGGGCAAAAGGTTCCACCTATTGTAAATTTCCATATTTCACATTCTCATCAAACACTGTCATTTATTTAATAAGCTAAATTTATAATCACTGGAAGTTATTTATACAGTTTGAATTATTTTACAAAATTATTTTTCTCTTTCACTTTCAAAAATGTGATTAAAATACTCTTCATATAATACCAACCAATCATAAAAGTAACAGTGAATAGTGACATCAAGAAACCAGTGAACTAATTGTTGAAACAGATGTATGAAATTGAACATCAAGAATCAAGATTTTTTTCAATTGAGAATAAGTAATGAAGAAGCAAGACAGGAAGATTATTTAAAACTTTTAATTGGTGATTTAACTTTACAGTATTTAAAATATCAAGATTTTTCTCAATTATTTAATACATATCATTTTTTTTTACCTCAAGAAATATATTTGTTGAGAAGACTACCATAAACTTTTGGGTGAGATCAAACTGAACTTGTACTTTGCTAAATACTCACATTCCAAAATTTCTATATTGGCTTTTGCCGTTTTGAACTTTTACCTAAATTATAATTTTACTAAATTCAAAATTTGAACTTTCTTCTTTTCAAAAGTGTAAATTGAACTGTATATAACTTGTGATGAACATTAGGCTTATGCCTATCCAACATCACATAAGCCTACTTTAAGCCGGCACATTCCTAGAACCCTGAGATTAAGAGTTTCATCTAAATTTATAACCCTACTTATTTGTACAATTTGACTAATAAAAGGTTTATACGTATTCATCATTGTAAACCCTGGACATTTATTTATTACTTATTTACCAAACAAAGGTTAAAGAACTTTACACTGTTGTCATAAATTAAAAAAAATAATAGTGCTGCACCCTGTTGGTATGCTTTATATGCACCCTTGTAACTTTAATGCTATTGAACATCATAGAACAGAACCAACTTGTTTAATTGAAACAGCTGTTAAGATTCATTAATTCTTTTTAAATATGAAAAATCATAAGGTTAACATGGGAAACTCCAGAGCCACTGGGGCGGAGCCCGAAAGCCCGATCAGAATAAAAACTACTTAGTTTTCCTATTTAATGCCCAAAGAATCGGTGTACCGAATTTCAGCCTCCTAGGTAAATGGGAAGTGAGAGAATTAGTGATGAGTGAGTGAGTGTGTCAGTGAGTCAGCGAGGGCTTTGCCTTTTATAAGTATAGATTATAGTCAAATTTCAAAATGTTGTTTCATTCATACTAAGCTATCAACATTTCAATAAAAATATATAAAAAAAACACCTCAATACCTTCCCTGAAGCAGCAAACGTAAGTACTCATTACAAATCAATGTCATTTTAATAGGAAATCAATCGGTCAATTTTAATATTTTAGTAGAAATGCAGCCAGGTAAATGTTTGCTGATTTTGCAGGTTTGCTGCGACGGGGGTATTTAGACCTTAGATGTAAAGAGCAATTAGTGCTATGTGCCAAATTTAAAAAACAGTTTTTTTAAGATATTAGAATTTTTTTGTCAAACAGAGTAAAAATTTATAGGTCAAATTAACATAAATTCCTCAACTACTCCTAAATAGTTATATTTAGGGCATTTTTGTAAATACAAAAGTTGTTCCTTATTGTGTAAGCAGCATTTGTTGTTATAAAAGTAACTCGCTATATATTACCGTTTTTGAGATATAAGCTCCAGATGAGTTTCATGTAATAAATGCCGCCGCCATTTTTAAAATGGCGGATTCTGAGGTTATGCCCACTCTGCCAAGCTGGCACCCACGTGAAAAATGATAACCCACATGGTACCTACATGATCCCTTAGGGTGTTTTTCTATACATGAAATGCACACGGGAACCTCCCTAGCAAGTGGATTAATAGTTGCAATAACACTTTTATCCAAAATTATTAATATAGTATAGATTATTTCTAAAACCCCAACATTGAATTATTATCCAAACGCCTGATTATTAGTGCATGTGCAAGTGATGAAGAAAGAAGACAGCTGGCTTCAACAATGAACTGATCAACATCCTGTGTGAAATTAAAATTTTCCCCCTTCTCTATTGGGACATGGCAGCATCAACACCTTAAATTCAGTGAGGGTATAATCCCTAACATTTAAAAAGCCAAAGTGATTAAAATTATTTAACTTAACATTAACTTAACAACAGAAGAACAGTTTAGCTTTTACATATACATTTTTTTTTCATTTCAAATTTGTACTGCCACCTCAAGATTTATATTAATTGGACACTGTTACTGAAGATCTGGTGAGAACTCTCCATTTTGCATAAGGCTTATCCTAACTTCAAGAAATTCAACTTAATACAGACCTATTTTTATTTACTTTCTGATTGAACCTAATTATTTGAATTCAAAAACTAATTTATTTTCATCAAGAATAGAAAAACAATATGAACAAGAGAACTAAATTCAACTTTGATAAATTTTCCACATTCTAGGCCTATTCATTGTTGGACTTATTTAATTTACCTATCCAAGCCTAAGAGCAATATCAAAATTATCCCATTTTTCATAATAATTAACATATTTTATTTCATAAATTAAAATATTTGAAGATCTTTTTAGCCAGCCGAGTTCCCCTCCCTGAGATTTATGTAATTTAAACTGATATACCTTATTATTATGAACTCATTGTTCTGTTTTTACTGAGCTAGGCTAAACCAAAGATGGGGACCCTGTAACTTAACTTATCTGTTAATTTAAATATCAAACCCCATTCATCATTGTAATATCTTATTCCTAGTTCATTAAATTTTTATTGTTAAGAAATTCTTCAGCTTAATCATTTGTCTTGCTATAAGTATATTTAATCTAGGCTTAACTTAGCATAATAAAATTTATTACTATTTAATAGTAAGTAAGTTAAAGGTACAAACCTGAACCATGAGTATCAATTTTAGAATCTGAATTTTATTAACTTAATCTAAATTATTACAAACAAGACACACATAGTGTTTTCTTTTAGTTGTAACTAAATTACCTTCAATATTTTTAATTACAGTATTTAAAAATATATATATTTAAGTGTAATCCTACTAATATTATAAATGAGAAAGTTTGGATGTATGGATGTATGGATGTATGGATGTATGTTTGTGACAAGTGAACGCGAAAAATACTGGTCGGATTGGGCTGAAATTTGGCATGATGATAGCTCACATACCCGATTAACATATAGGCATATATATTCTTATTTCAAAAATCCTTTCGGGCTCCGCCCCAGTGGCTCTGCAGTTTCCCATGTTAACCTTATGAGAAATGGAATTATCGAATATTAACAGCTGTTTCAATTAAACAAGTTGGTTCTGTTCTATGATGTTCAATAGCTTTAAAGTTACAAGGATTACCAACAGGGTGCGGCACTATTATTTCTTTTACATTTCTGACAACAGCTAATTTGTAACCAAAAGGTGAGTGAGCGTAGCGAACGAACTTCAACCTGGAGGCGAGTTAGCGTAGCGAACGAGCTCCAACCTAAAGGTGAGTGAGCGTAGCGAACGAGCTCCAACCTAAAGGTGAGTGAGCGTAGCGAACAAACTTCAACCAGGACGTGATTGAGCCATGCGAACGAGATAATTTTGAAAATTAAGAAGTTAAACGGGGCAAAGCCCGCGGGTTACAGCTAGTTAAATATAAATTAGTGAAGAATAAAAACTGTACATGCTAAAACAAAATAAGTGCCTGGGTCATAAATTAAAATATTTCCCATTATACTGTCTAGGTATAACACATGTTAGGTTACATTGTTGTTGTAATAAACCTAGAAGAAAGAAAATGAAATGTGCTTGTGATGGAAGATCTAGATAGAGATGGATGTGGGAGCCAAGTCTCCAGTGATTAACTTAAATAGTCAAAAGTCTAGAAAATTAACATGCATAACATATAGAAATATCGATGATAAAGAGACATTAAGAAAGAAGATAGGTAAGTATTCAACAGAAATTGGTAATATCAAACTCAATAAACATTTAAAAATCATCATTAATTTCCAACCACCATCACATCATTGTGAATAGCCTAAATTCAAGTGACTGTTTCAAGCTAAGAACTTAAAGCCTAAATTTTATGACTCTCATTATTTAGTAGCCTACATTAGTAAAAATTAAGTAAATTAGCCTATCAGAATTTCATACCCGGCACGAACCAACCCCTAGATTAAGATCATTGTTTTCCAATTTGTTATCTAGCCCATCTATAAAACTTAGACCAAAATATAAGTTAACTGTCATAGCCCATGAGATTGTTGTAATATAAGTTAGAACTGAAATATATCTTTTTGTAATTTTATTGGAATGTTGATTATCTATTTTTAGGTAAATTTATATTCATAAAATCGAGTAGAAAAGTGGAGTAGGTTGCAGAATAAAGGCTAACAGGCCTAGCCTAAATGAAAATACATAGAGACATTGAGGTAAATTTAGACGCAGTTATTGATCGTTTCGGAAAATGCAGTAATCGAAGATTGGAATTTTTAGTTTGAGCCTATTTAGTTTTGTTCATTGCAACTTGTTAGTTTTTGTCTTAGAAGATTCAATTTTATTAAAGTGTGTATGTTTTGACAGCAATTTTTTTTTTCATTTCAGAAGTGTTAGTTTTAGGTTAAGTCATTTCAAACTTTGTCCCGTAATTTTTTTTAATTAACAGTTGATGATAAACTAAAACTTAGGCCTACATGTTCAAATGGATTGTAGAATTGATTTATTTCAATGAGTGTTCCCACATTACAAGACACATTATAAGGTGCTCAAATTTGATTGGCGTGTTGGAGGGGGAGGTTGGATTTGCCGACCGCCCCTCCCAAACCAGTTCTCTGGATCCACTCTTGCTTATAGGGGGCCCAGTCATAATTTGTTCAAATTATCAAGCAGCAGGTTTGCGAGTAATTACTTTAACAGAATAATTACTTAAGGCACTGACCTGTTCAGGAGCAATGATGCCAGGACAGTTGGGTCCAATCAGGCGGGATTTGTTTTGTCTAACGAGTCTGTGCTTGACCTTGACCATGTCCTGCTGAGGGATGCCTTCTGTGATGCAGACAATCAGCGGCATTTCTGCGTCAATGGCCTCCATAATGGCCTTAGCAGCACCAGGCGGAGGCACGTATATTACAGTGGCTTCTGCCCCTGTAGCATCTCTAGCCTGTCACAGTACAGTAAGCTAAACAAGTCAAATCTGCTAGAACTTTCACAGAAATTATGTTTTCATATCTCTTTAAATTATCCTATACTAGGCTACAATTACACAATTACGTTTACACGTACATTGATTAAATAACTGCTCCAACAAGTTCCTCTAAATAGTTAGACATATCTTAAGTTGTATGCTAAAAATAATATTTAAGCTGGGCTCTGTTATGGGAAAACAAGTTTTTGCTTTTAGTTAAAACATTTTATTGAAATTTGACAAAAATATTGAAATTTGGCCTTAGGCCACTGTGAAAAATATTAAAACCTAAACATTATATGCTTACACAAAAAAACCATCTACAGAAGACTAGCAACGTACTAAATACCCCTGTCGCAGCAAAATTTCCATTTTAGAATTTTTTTCTGTAACCGTTAGGCATACAAAAACTCTACAATACAGTATGATTGAAAAGTCCCGGAATGGTGTAATATGTTTTTTACAATTGTAGATAAAGTAATAAGATTTGATAATTATTTATTGATTTGGTAAATCAATAATGACTAAAAATATCTACTCTTTTAAGCTATTATTAATTTTAGCGAATTCATGGTATTTTATCCCTTAAGAGTCTGTAGTACCTAGGGCATTGGTCCGAACTGATGGTGGCACGCTGGGCCAAGTTTATCCGAACTACATGGGTCATTTCGATTTTAAGCAGGATGTTGTTCAACCAGTTTTAGACAGAACGTTGTTCCCGCGATTGGGTGACATGTGTGTGAGTTGGGCCCTGGGGCTGACGTCCGAGGGTGTTTCCCCAAACGTGATCGACAGAGCACAACTTTCACTTCTAGACCCCAAACCCCGGGTGCTCCTTACCTACCAGCTACTGCCAACCAGCAGTCGTTGTGTTTCGACAACTCGATCCCACAGTTGGAGCACACAAAGTAAAAGACATTAAAATATTAATTTTGATGTTGATGACACAACATGGAATACGGAAATCGATAAAATAAAGTATCGGTACAGTTTTTTATACACACTAAGCACTTTTTTTTACAAAACTGAACATAATTTTAGTTTATTTTTGTATGTAAATGAAACATTCATTTGGTTAAACTGATATATTGGTTTGATTAACATAAATAGTTTATACAATCCAACTGTCAGTTCTATTTCATGTAAAAAGACTAAGCAGCCACTAAATAAAATACAAAGATAAACAGTATTTGTTAATTAGGTACTTACGTATTAAACGGAGGCCACATTTTGTCAGCGCGCTGCGGCGGTTATGTTAGGTTGGGTTATCATAATAGAAAGTATAACTCGTCTGGTATCGTTCGATTCATAACGAAGCGAGGAAAGTCCTACACACATAATATTTACGATAACCCAACCTAACATAACCGCCGCAGCGCGCTAACAAAATGTGGCCTCCGTTTAATACGTAAGTACCGTTAATTATTATGTCTTTTATTATTGGCAATATTCCCGTGGCGGATCACGGGCGGGTTAACTATGGTGTTTAATAATGTACCTCTCCTGTTATTCAAGCTTATGCGTACGTGTATGAAGGAAATTTCTGTTACTATCCATTGCAAGAAAAATCAAAATGTTCATAAAAAATTATGTAAAAATCAAGAAGTGGAATTCAGCTTAAACAAGAATATATACCGTTTAACTAAATATGGTATGTCAACATTATCAACCATTTAACACTGCAATTTCCATAATAACATTATTTAGACAAGTTTTAAACTTTTCAATAGGCCATAAGAAAAAAAATACTACTTTAACCCTTTGAGTGCCAACGTCCGGGGAACCGGACGTTTTTAAAACGAGCCAAAAGTGCCGACGTCCGGCCGACCGGACGTTTTTAGAACGAGCCAAAAGTGCCAACGTCCGGCTAACCGGACGTTTCGTAATGATCGAACAGTTGTCATAACAACCGAATGGATACTCAGATTCTTTTAATCCATATATTAACATTGAGTCGAAAGTTACTAGATGCGATACATTGATTTTCGTTGGTCGAAATACAGTATCGAAAATTCAATTTTTACGAAACTTTAACCTAAAAATCGCCAGATCGCGCTCGGCATTTTTAGCGCGACCTTCGGGAAAAATCATCGGCATTTTTTGAGCGTTACTTTTATTTCTTGCCTGGCACTCTAAGGGTTAAAAAGGATATTATGTGTATTCAAAATCAATTATAAAATAGTACTAGCTGTGTGGATCTTGTAGTCAGTTGAAACCTTCGTACATTCGAACAGCAGTTGGTTTGCTTATTTCTTATTTCGACCTTTTACATCTTCGATTCGATATATTAACCGATACTGTCCTGATTTATGTTAAATGAAGTATCTTATATACTACTAGCTGTAACCCGCGGGCTTTGCCCCGTTTAACTTCTTAATTTTCAAGATGATCTCGTTTGCATGGCTCAATCACGTCCTGGTTGAAGTTCGTTCGCTACGCTCACTCACCTTTAGGTTGGAGCTCGTTCGCTGCGCTCACTTGCCTTCAGGTTACCTCGTTCGCTACGCTAACTCGCCTCCAGGTTGAAGTTCGTTCGCTACGCTCACTCACCTTTTGGTTGCAAATTAGCTGTTGTCATAAATGTAAAAGAAATAATAGTGCTGCACCCTGTGGGTAATCCTTGTAACTTTAATGCTATTGAACATCATAGAACAGAACCAACTTGTTTAATTGAAACAGCTGTTAAGATTCATTAATTCCATTTCTCATAAGGTTAACATGGGAAACTCCAGAGCCACTGGGGCGGAGCCGATTGGACGGATCACGAAATTGATGGTGTATAAACCTATTCCATGAAATTCTACATGTATGTACCAAGTTTCGTGGCAATCGGTTCAGCGGTGTCTGAGTTTATCACTGCCAAACAAATATATATATATATATATACAAACATCCTCTTTTATACTTATAGATTTAAAAAATTTGGTTTTTCTTTCCCGAGTTCGTTTAGCTTTACTACCAGACCGATTTTCATGATTGAGGTCTCAAATTGAAGGTATGCACGCACATATTTTCCATCAAGCATTGGCGGCATATAATTATCTATAGTTTCACTTGGTTTTTATGTAAACAAAATTTGCTCTACATGTATTTCTTATGGGAGTTAATTTGGTTTCTCTTTGCCGACTTCGTTTAGCTATTCTACCCGACCGATTTTCATAATTGAGGTTTATATGTGAACGAAATTTGCTCTCCATATATTTCTTATGGGAGTTAAGTTTGGTTTCTCTTTACCAAGTTCATTTAGCTCTTCTACCCGACCGACTTTCATGATCGATATCTCAAATTGAAGGTATGCACGCACAGATTTGCCATCAAGCATCGTCATAAAATTATATATTATCCCACTTGGCTTTCACGTAAACAAAATTGCTCCCCATGTATTTCTTATGGGAGTTCGCATCGGCAAATATTTACCTACTGAAAAAACATAATTTGATTTTTTACGAATTCTTATTTCAATTCAAGATGTATTTCACAAGTTATAATGATATAATCCTTTATATTTTGGTCTAAGCGCCTCCAGTGAAATACTGCCTTTCATTCAAGCTATTACTTATTCAAATCGGACGAGTTTTAAGCAAACGCAAGGCGAACAACCAACATAAAAACTATTTTTGATAAGGGTTATCTACGATTAAAAATTAATAGCTCCTGTATTGTTCATGTTTTTCTATATAATCACTAAATTATAGGCTTTAATTTGAGCTATTGATCCTTTGAATCAGTTAAGCTCAAGATACTGTATTACTCAATCAAAAATCATAAATGTGATTATTTCTCGGATATTATATTTATTTTAACGCTGCGGAGCAGCATGGGTCCTCTAGTAACAACTTATAAAAATCCAAATTTTGATATTTTTGACCTTACAGTAATTACTCATATCGGCCGTACTGAAAACTTTGCATCGCCGACAAGAGGTCCCTTTTTGCTTTCCACATCACATACAGAACTATTCCTGCTTCGATAAGATATTGACCTAGGACTTTGCCCCGCAGGCTTTCAAAGTTCTGAGGAGAGAGTTTTAAATGTAAATATTGATTGGTCTCCAAGGTAACAAAGAACAAGCCCACAAAGTTAAACACGTTGCCTACCACATGTCACACTCATCTGTATGAGGGGCGTTGTGATACCTAGAGGTGAATGTGTTAACACGTTGCCTACCACATGTCACTCTCATCTGTATGAGGGGCGCTGTGATACCTAGTAGTGAATGTGTTAACACGTTGCCTACCACTTGTCACACTCATCTGTCTGAGGCGCGTTGTAAACCTAGTAGTGAATGTGTAAACACGTTGCCTACCACATGTCACACTCATCTGTCTGAGGGGCGTTGTGACACCTAGTAGTGAATGTGTAAACACGTTGCCTACCACATGTCACACTCATCTGTCTGAGGGGCGTTGTGACACCTAGTAGTGAATGTGTAAACATGTTGCCTACCACATGTCACACTCATCTGTCTGAGGGGCGTTGTGACACCTAGTAGTGAATGTGTAAACACGTTGCCTACCACATGTCACACTCATCTGTCTGAGGCGCGTTGTAAACCTAGTAGTGAATGTGTTAACACATTGCCTACCACATGTCACACTCATCTGTCTGAGGGGCGTTGTGACACCTAGTAGTGAATGTGTAAACACGTTGCCTACCACATGTCACACTCATCTGTATGAGGGGTGTTGTGAGACCTAGTAGTGAATGTGTAAACATGTTGCCTACCACATGTCACACTCATCTGTCTGAGGGGCGTTGTGACACCTAGTAGTGAATGTGTAAACACGTTGCCTACCACATGTCACACTCATCTGTCTGAGGGGCGTTGTGAGACCTAGTAGTGAATGTGTTAACACGTTGCCTACCACATGTCACACTCATCTGTCTGAGGGGCGTTGTGAGACCTAGTAGTGAATGTGTAAACACGTTGCCTACCACATGTCACACTCATCTGTCTGAGGGGCGTTGTGAGACCT